ATGGACCGCGAGATCATGACCTGAGCCGAAGTCAGAGGCTTAACCAACTGAACCACCAGGCACCCCACGTGGAGGGCTTTATTTCAAAGAAACCAAGAAATATCTTCTAGAGCTGTACTGTCCGGTACGATAGCTTGCTCATTCGTGACCACGGAGGCCCTGAAACGTGGCTGCGACATACCCAGAAATGACAAGATTTCGGATAGACCGAATGAAACAAAACACATTGTTAAGGCTCACGTCACCGGAGCTTCTCATACTTTCTTAACGTGCCCACTAGAAAATTTCCAATTTTCTGGGTGGCTTGCATCATGGTCTATGGCATTAACACACCTGTCAAGTGCTCACACAGGTGAGCAAACCTGATTGGCTAGAAATTGTGTGTTCTAGCCAGAGAGAGAGAGAGAGAGAGAGAGAGAGAGAGGGAGGGAGGGAGGGAGGGAACGCTAAGTTCGGTTCATATTTGCAACGTTTCACTATAAACCAGACAGGAGTTTTGCAAGTACAGCATTGAGCACACCACCAGCCTTCTACCCAATGATTATTCCTGAAGGGCAGACAATGAGTATCCGTCGTGACACATGCTTACTCACACGGTATCATTTAGACATAACTTGTCAATCAATGGTGGCCTCGCTCACAGCTCGCAGATCCCCTGCTAACTTCTGGCTGGCAGAAACAGCCCTGACTGCAAGGGGTACAATCTTACAGGTGACAGGAAAATGAGAACGTGTGCCAGGCCCACGCTGGGAAAAACGCACGGTCCCCTCCGCAAACAGCTAGGAACTGAATTTTCTCTTGGAAACCTCCAAAGACGTGGTGGTGGGGGTGGTGGGGAAATGGGTGGAAATTGCATCCCATTGCAAGGAAAGTGTAAAACCTGCTCTTCGACTCCTCCCTCGTATCCCTCGCACGTTCTTTTTCTGGACGTCCTCAGCACCGCAGTCTCGGATCGCCTTGCCAACTGCACCGCTGCCCTGTGATTATGTCAGCGTGCTGGGCTGAAGGGGCAGGTATGCGTCGGCAGAAAACCAGACATTAGATTGACACGTAGGTCCCGGGACGCGAGAATGGTTAGAAAAAAGTCAGACAGACACGCTCGCTGGCACCTTGCACGGGAAGGTCCCTGCCGTGACGAGGCCAAGCTGTCAGTCTGAGCACCCCCAGGAACACCGAGTGAACGTGTGGGATCCTCCAACCTGCTTGTTAAGCCTTCCTGGGGTGTCAGGTGCCCTTAAACCAGTCACTACCACAAACGCAAAACCCACTGGCCCGTGTGCCAGCTTCCTGCTGCCAGGATTGCTAATGCTGTGCTGCTGGCTGCGTGCGTGCACGCGTGCGTGCACGCGCGCGTGCGGCTCTTCCCTGACACTTCCATCCCTGTCCTCCTCCCTCGTCCCTCCCGGTTTCTGCCTCCGTAGACTAGTGGTTCTCAAAGTGTGGTCTGGGCACCCCTAGTGGCCGTGAGACCCTTTCAGGGGTACCCTGAAGTCAAAACTCATTTCATAAGGACACGAAGACATGATCTGTGATGACATGATTTGTCTTTTTCACTGTCGTTCCTTCCTGAGCGTACTGTGGTTTTCCGGAGGCTACGTGACATGCGGTCTTGGAACAGGCTGAACGCAGAAGCTGATGTAAGAAGGCAGCTATTTTCTGCTAAGCCAGACGTTACAGAGATTTGCAGAAACGTAAAAACAAAACCAGTCTTCTCATTGAGCTTTTGTTTTGGAAAACGGGCTTCTTTTTCATTAAATGCTATGTGTATTACTTTAAGGGATGAAATATTGATTTTTTTTTCAGTTTTAATCTCTAATGCAGTAAACATGATACTTATAAACCCAACTAGACCACCCAACCGAGGGCTCTTGAGGGCCCTCAGGTTTTAAGAATTTGTGAAGGGGTTCTGAGACCAAACCGACTGAGACTGCTGCTTTAGTCATGCCCCTTCTTCCAGGAAGCTTTCCCTAACTTCTCAGAGGCCAGTAGGTACCTCCACTATGTGCCCACAGCAGCCTGTATCTCTCACATGATAGCGGCCACCACATTCAGCTGAAATTGCCTATTTACTGGTCTGTCTCCTCCGTGGGCCTTGTGAGCAGTGACTGTGTCCACAGCACCTGACAGAAGGTTCTTGAATACACACACACATACACACACACACACACACACTTGGCTAAAGAAGCATCTAGGGTGCTATTACAGTCACTTCCTGAGGGACCCTAGTGACTGCTGCTGGCAGTGGCTCTAAGAAGGGAAGAAAATCATCCTGACAACAGAGTTCTCATCTCTGACCCCCAGAAGAGGGGGGTGGCCCCAGGCCTGCCCACAAAGCTCCTTTTAAAATGGTGCCACTTCTTGGGGGCGCCTGGGTGGCGCAGTCGGTTAAGCGTCCGACTTCAGCCAGGTCACGATCTCGTGCTCCGTGAGTTCGAGCCCCACGTCGGGCTCTGGGCTGATGGCTCAGAGCCTGGAGCCTGTTTCTGATTCTGTGTCTCCCTCTCTCTCTGCCCCTCCCCCGTTCATGCTCTGTCTCTCTCTGTCCCAAAAATAAATAAACGTTGAAAAAAAAAATTAAAAAAAAAAATAAAATAAAATAAAATGGTGCCACTTCGGGGGCTCCCAAGTGGCTCAGTCAGTTAAACGTCCAGCTCTTGATTTTGGCTCGGGTCATGATCCCACGGTGTGTGAGATCGAGCCCGCATCAGTCTCTGCACTGACAGTGTGGAGCCCGCTTGGGTCTCTCTCTCTCTCTCTCTCTCTCTCTCTCTCTCTCTCCCTCCCCCTCTGTCTGACTCTCCCCTCCGCTCGCTCTCTCTCAAAATAAATAAACAAACATTAAAAAAATAAGAGAAAATGTGCCATTTTTATCAGATTCTAGGCCAAATGCCTTCCTAGTTCTAGACCACTAAAATCAGGAGTTGGAATTTAGACTTCAAGATGCGTTCCCGTGGTGGGGGAGGGGGCCTTCTAATTTGGTGGGCGCTGTGGGCCAGAACGCTGTCATAAATATCGAGGATAATCTGCCTGATAGAGCTATCTCTTCCTCAACAGAACAGCCTTGTCATGAACAAAGCCTCCTGTTGGAGGATGAAGGAAAAGGGCACGTTCTCCAGTCAGGGGATCCTGGTGGTTTGGTTCAACACGCCAGCGAGAGAAAACAGGAATTTTAACTCCTAACACCCTTGCTCTCTTCCTCTCGCTCCAGGCGAGTATGTTCTCATGAGCCCGCTCCAGGAACGTGCGGGCAGTACCTGTACCTTCCCCCTCCTCAGGAAATCAGGTGTTACGCTTTGGACGAAGGTAGCTAGCGGGGATGCTGAACTGCTTCAAGTCAGGCTTGGCTGAGCAAATGCAACACGGTTAATATTCTGCGAACCCTCTAGCGTTTATCATGTGGCATTTCATCAGAGAGCTAGTCTTTTCCTTAAAGCCTCCTGGGGTCACCTCCTGGTTACGCACAAGCTTCCCTTCACAGGCTGGGGAGGAAGGTGGCCCGAGGGGTGGTTATGGGACTCAAGTTCCCGAAGAAAAGCACACACAAGGCGGCAATGCCCGTGCTGTGTCCCGGAGTGATGAGAGGCGCTCTGTACCTGGGCGCTTTGCAAACAGCTTGACGCTGTGTTGTGCCTCACAACACCCAGTACCCAGTGACTCTCGCTTTTCAACCAACATCACAAACCCCGAAGGAACCTGCTAAGTGTCTTTTTTCTTTGATGTCTTAATGACGAAAAAATCTTCAGGGTGCCTGGTGGCTCAGTCGGTGAAGCGTCAGACTCTTGATTTCGGCTCAGGTCGTGATCTCACGGTTCACGACTTCGATCGGGCCCCGTGTCGCTTGGGGTTCTCTCTCTCCCTCTCTGTCTGCCCCTTCCCCACCGCTGCGTGCCCTCCCTCTCTCAGAGTAAATAAACTGAAAAAAATAATTTAAAAACCTTCAATCAAGCAGCTATTCTTTGTTTTTGAACGTAGCTGGTTAAATAGACATAAAAGAAAATATTTCATCCGGTGGGCTTCATATCATAAAATGAAAAGCAGACAAGTTTGGGGGAAGTTACACTCAGGATTGTAACGCCCCTCCCCACCACTGCCTCATGTGAGACCAGCTCACGATTCCTTACCCCCAACCCTTTGGGCCAGATGTGTTTCTGAATTCAGAGTTGCTTAGACTTTAGAAAGGCAGAATCGTTGCGTACACTGTAATATTTTGTTCATGTCCCCATAATGAATCCGTTAGTATTTCTGCATGGAACATAGAATAAGAAAATCCACGCATAGGGAGATTAAAAAAAAAAAAATAAGATTAGCAACAGGTTCATGTCATTTCAGATCAGGTTTTGTGGCCAAGGGCGTTTAGATTTGGAACTGAGAATTCGGGAATGCGGATCCGTAGAACAGTGTTTCTCAAACCGTGGTCCCTGGAACAGCAGGAGCGGTAATCCCCTGGGAACTCAGAAATGCAAACTCTCGGGCCTCCCCCCCACCCACCGTCTCCTGACCTGCTGAAGCAGAAACTCAACAGGCAGGGCTCAGAAGTATGTGTGTCTAGGTGACTCGGACGCACTGTAGAGTTTAAGAATCGGTGCCTTGGGAGACACGATTACCGACGGGTGTCTTACCTGTCTCTGCTCCTGCGCGAGGGGAAGGTGGCGTTACAACCTTCCACTGTGCACACGTGGGTTTCCCTGGCGTGCATGTTCTTGTGGTGCATTTTCACGCCGCAGGCGTTCTTAAAGGTCTTCTTGCAGACGTCGCACTGGAAGCGGTTTTCTTCCTTCTGCCGGCCGAGTGCACGCTGACCCGCGACGTCTGGCTCTTTAGACTCTTCGAAACAAGGAAAAGCCATCCCTCTGCTGGACAGAGCGCCCAAGAGCCCGCCGGCCAGCAGGTGCTGCTGCAGTCTGACGTAGTCCGGAAAGGGCACGCAGGGCTCCGTCCCGGGTGTGAGGTGAAGCTCACGGCCGCCGTCGTCCGGCCCCCTCGGCACCGCGGGCTCCTGCTTAGCCTCGCTCTCCGCGCGCTGCGGGGCCTGCTCGGGGCTTCTGCTGATGGCTCCGCCGGCCTTCATCCCCGAGTCTCCGCGGCAGCCCGTCTCTCCTCCTGACCGCGTGTCCTGGTCCCCGGGGGCTCTGTCCGACTGAGGACTGCAGGCCTCCGGCTCGTCCCCGCGGGCCACCCGCGGGGGCACGTCTTCATCCGAGCTGAGCACCTGCCTCTTCTCGTTGGCGATTCCCACGGTCTCCTTCTCGATTTTGATGGGCATACTGGATTTTCGGGATTTCTTCTTGGGAAGGGCGTCAAGCGGCCCCTCGTTCGACACCAGCTGTTCCGGGATGGAAGAGGACAGGAGAGGCAGAGAAGGCAGCACCCCGGGCGTGTTCGCCAGCTCGGCCGGAGTGGCCGGGCTGCGGTAGAAAGGCAGGACCGGCTGGACCGTCTTTAGGTTGGGGAAAAGCACCCCGTTTTGCCCAAGGCTGGGGAAGGCCGGCTGGCCCCCGGAAGCCTCCCCCGCACCGAAGCCGGCCAGGGGCCTGCAGTCGGCAGAGCTCACCGTGAAGGCCGGGCGTTCGTAGCCGTCCGAGGCGGCCAGGTTCAGGCTGCTGCGCAGGTCTTTGTCCCTGTTGTTCCTGTTCATGGGCATGTGCAGCCGGGGGTTGGGGTTGGCGCTGTGGCGGTTCCGGCTCCTGAGGGAGCTGAAGACCATGTTACAGCCCTCGATGGTGCACTTGTGCTTGATCTTCAGGTGGACGGCGTTGTAGTGGATCTTGAGCGTGCCCTTGTCGTAGAAGGTCTTCTCACAGGCCGTGCAGAACACCCGGCCCTTCTTCGCGCCCAGGCTGGTCCTCTCGGGCTTCGCTTTGGCCTCGGGGGACAGCTGTGTCCTTTCGAGCTTCGTGACGATGTTGTATGGGCTGGAGTCACTCAGATGGGCGTTGTCTTCCTTTTTCGTCACCGGATCCGGGCAGTTTAGACACTGCTCTCTTTCCACCTGAAATGGTGTGGAGCCGGAGGTCACAAAGCCACTGCCGGGGAAGGGTCCGTGGATGTCCTGCTTGGGGTCCTGACTTTGGTCCTGACCCTGCTCCAGCACGTACTGCTCGGGCAGGGACCCTACGAGTGTGGGAGGCACAGGGTTGAAGAACTGGAAAGGCAGCATGAAGGTCATGTTGTTGATGAGGTTCTCAAAGGGGTGCAGGCTGCTGGGGTTCCCCTTGTCCACAGGAGCGGGGAGGCCGGCACCCCTGTGGCTGCAGCTCTCGATGAAGGCCCTGATGTCCACATTCGCCGTGGACGGCGGGATGATGACGGACCGCTCTTCTTTTTCCTGAATTGCCATGAGCTCCACGATGGACTTGGTCTCCCCAAAACGAAGGAACTGCTGCAAGGTGGCCACCTCCTCCTCGCTGGTCATGATGCTCCAGTGATCCAGCACCTTTCCCGATGCATCCTAAGCCGGAATTAAAAAGCGCAATTAATTTTACTGCTCCTCGCCTTCTTCTCTAGAAGGAGTCACGCGGTCAGGGCCCCCACGAGCACCGCAGGGCGCCCTGGCGCATACCGGAAAACAAAAACGAAACGCCCCCCCGGACGAGCACGGGGCTCGCGGAGTCCGGCCCCCCCCCCCCCCCAGTCACACTACTCTCCTAGGCCAGAGACTCTGTGCAGAAAATAACCTGCACCAATTATAAGCGGTGGTCCAGAAGAGAGAAATAAAATTATATTACTCAAGCCTAAGGGAAATTAAGTGATTATTTTCCATCTTACTTCAAACCATTAGGCATAATAATTCCCCCCCCCGCCCAAAATTAAAATATGTATCATTTGAACAACAGTAACTTCTTTATCTAAAAAGTATAGACAGAGCAATCAGGCCTAGCACAGCTCAAGTATTTATTTTGCTGCGAGTTTAATAATCTTCCCAAGCAACTCACATCAGAAAGCAAATGAACCTGTATTGATCCACTGGCCGTGTTTGCAAAGCAGAGATTTAATTACACTGGAGTGTTGGAGATCTTTCAAACTCTAGCAAGGCCTAACTTTTCCCAAAACTACAATAAATATTTTATCACAGAACATGTATTTGATGGCCTACTGAGATCTTTCACAATGCATGTAAGAGTTCTGAAGATGATGAGGGATGTAACATCATAAATTTTTGATGCACTAGAGGTTCAAGGTAATTGATTCCATATTTTTAATCCTAACACCAGAAAGCAAGATTATTAGGATCATTAAATATTGATCTATGTCATAATGTAAGATCATAATGCTACTCTACATAAAAGGTTGCTTTGAGCCTGCTGGGGGTCCTGCATCCAAGGTGAGCAAATATGCCTTCAGAGGAATATTGTGGGTGTCAGGGTAAGAAAGAAACGGGTTCAAATCCTGGGTTGGCCACGTATGACCTGAGTGGCTTTGGCCACGATTCAGAGGCACTTGGAGCCTCTGGCTTTTCAGCTGGAAAATTGACCTGCCTTGTGAGATTTTACCGGAAGAAGGTCCAGGTCGATAAATGGTTGTAAGTGTTTGTGTTAATGACACGGCCTACCTGGAGGAGACTGAAGCGAATGTCCGTTTCAGGGAAATTGTGACACTTCCTAGCGTGGATGTCAAAGCAAGAAAAAAGCTGCAGCTGTGTCAGATGTCAGAGAAATGCTACCATTCGTACCAGGAAGGATGTCCTTTGCTTGCAGATATGACACGTGAGGCCTACCTCCACGACCTGGTCGAGGAGGAGGTAAGACTACTCTGCAAAATAACGGAAGGGGAGAAGGGGAGGAGGGCACGGCACAGCCGAGAGATGAGAACACGTGCGGGGGCCGGAAGGGAGTCCAGGAGCGAGAGAACGAGCGGGAGCCGGAAGGCAGACACATCCCAGGAGGGTGGAGCCCGGGAAGGAAGACCGGAAGTGGGGCAGCAGGAAGCTGTTAACTGTCCGCCGTGCGGTTCTGGAACTCCTGTCCTCCCCCACCCACACCCTCAGTAAAATCTGGCACAGGCAGGGCCTTGTGTCAGTAGGTGGCTTGGGGACAGTAACGTGGGGCAAACGCTTCATTGCAGGAGGGCCAGCTCGGTGGAATCTGAGTCAGAGAACATGTAATTGCTCCCACATCCGGAAGTTTCACGGGTATCTGGGGGAAAGCGCTGCGTTTTCCCCAGAACACGAGGTGGGGGCTTAAGCCATTAGAAAAAATTTTTAAAAAGATTTTTTTTTTTAAGTTTATTATTATTTTTTTTTATTTTGGGAGAGACAGAGACGGCATGAGCAGGGGAGGGGCAGAGACAGAGGACGAGAACAGAGAATCCCGAGCAGACTCCACACTGTCAGTGCAGAGCCCAGCATGGGCTCGAACTCCCGAAACCATGAGATCGTGACCTGAGCTGAAACCAAGAGTCAGATGTCAGATGCTTAACCAACTGAGCCACCCAGGCACCCCAGGAAAAATATTTAAGGGGATGATGCCCACCAATGACTGGAGCACTACAGGCGACCGGGTTCCATCATTTACTGGAACATGGATTCGAGACGACGTTCCAGGAGAACTATGGCCACGCTCACCATACCTGTAGCACGTATCCACGGATATAATCCTGAAGGGTCCAGTCCAGGGCATGGAGAATCTGGAGAACCTCATCTTGCTTCAACACACTGAAGAGCCGGTCCAGTAGGATTTTCAGGCGAACAGGGATGGCCTGGGTCCCGTACAGCATGAGGCTGCTGATGTCAAACACCACATTGGACTGGACAATCTCCACCTGGCTTGTGGGATACACGGGAGGGATCCTCAGCTTGCTCAGAGCTGAAAAATCAAATTGAAGAAAAGAAAGTCCATTTGTAAAGATCCTACTGCTAAGAGAAACACGGAGAAGGTGGTAGGCTAGTGTGAGCTCTCAGGTATGTGTTCCAACAGAAAAAAACAGTAACATGCAAATGTTAACAATCTTTTTTTTTTTTTTTTTTTAAGTTATTTTGAGGGAGAGAGAGAGTGCGTGAGCAGGGGAGGGACAGAGAGAAAGAGGGAGGGAGAGAATCCCAAGCAGGCTCTGTGCTGTTAGCATGGAGCCCGACGTGGGGCTCAAACTCACGAACTATGAGATAATGACCTGAGCCGAAATGAAGAGCTGGACACTTAACCGACTGAGCCACGTAGGCGCCTTTGATTAACCGCCTTAAGAGCTATCAGGCTCTAAATTATTCACAAGAACTTCTAAAATAAAACGGCCCGGCTTGAGATTCTTTTTTCTTCCCTGTGTCATCCCTAAGGAGTAAGAAATAGCCCCACGTAGGACAGACGCAAGGACAAGGAGTGAAGACAAATGCAGCAGGTGCATAATCAAAAGATAGAAAAATCAGGAAGAACAGGGTCTGCCGGTGAAGATCTGACGGATCTGGGTTCGTGCCCTCGTCTGTCATCAGGCTCTGCCTTGTCGTCCAAGTCATCAGGCTCTGCCGATTTAAGCCACCGAAATCTATGCCGTCCAATGTGACAGTCATCAGGCACGCACGGCTGCTTAAATTTATTTAACCTTTTTAACTTTAACTGAATTATTTTTCAGTTAAACTGAAAAATTACTTTTAATTTTACTGAATTATTTTTAACTTTAACGTGTTTAACGTGTTTAACTTTACTGAATTATTTTTACCTTATTAAACCGTTTCATTCATTAAATTCAATCAACCTGGAAATGGAGTCCTTCAGCCACACCAGTCACGTTGCAAGTACTCACCAGCTGCACAGGGCTGGTGTGGGGTTCTGGGGTTTGGCAAACTGAAATACAGGACGCCCAGTTACACACGAACGTGGATTTCACATAAACAGTGACTGAGTGGGATACGTTTAAACTAAAAATATTCACGGGGACACAGTTAAGCTTAAGTTGTTGTGTCTCTGAAACTCACATTTAACTGAGCATTCTGGGTTGTATCTGGCAACCCTGGAGGCCGTTGCATGAGCTGCTGTCGCTGCAGAATGACCCAGCACACCCCTCACGCAGGGTCGTTCAGGTTCAAAGGGATCGTACACAAAGCTCCTGGCCTGTTAGCCAGAGATCGGGGCCACACACAAGGGCTCGCCGTCTGGGAAGGGATTTAACGTTAGCCGTTCCCAAACCACTCTAGGTTATTCCGAGGGAGCACGACAGGCCACGGGAAGAGGACACATAGTTACCGTGGGCCACCCATCCGTGTCTGCACTGCTCACACTGGCGGTGGTTGATCTTCCCCGGCTTGAAAGTCTGGCAGCTACAGTTGAGAGTGCAGCCGATAGCCTGCGGGAGAGAACACAGGCCCACGGGGAGCGTGAGTGACACACGCAGGGCTCTGCCGAACACCACGCGGTCGGTCCTCCATTCAGTGACATTGGCCGAGCAGCGCGTGCCCGCCGCGTCCCAGACCCAGGCGGGTACGCGGTGCCCTGGGAAGACGAGGAACACGTCACCAGCTGCTCTGCATGCGACAATGGGCTGGGAACCAGTTCCGTGAGAGGAGAGCGCGGGCTGGGAGGGGACACCTTGCTTGTTACTAAGAGCATGGGAGGGGTGAACAGCCCTATTTTCGCCAGTCTCTACGTTGACCAAAGCAGTCGCCCCGGATGGTGACACAGGGGCCGCCCTGGATGATCTGAAAGAGTGTGATCTGAATGGAGAATTATCCAAATGTGGACGTGGTTACCCCCCAACGTGTGGTACAGGCTAAAAGTCCACCCAGATGGTGGACACGATGTGGCCAACCACACTGAGGACTCCCTGATTCCACCCTCTGGGCTGTGTGGCTCACAGCCCTGTGCACACGCCCAGCTGCACGTTCAAGTGCTGCGCGTGTGTGGGGGTGCCCGGTGTGCAGTGGGGAGCACGGTGGGGGTGCACGCTGTGCAGACACACGGCTGAAAGAGAAGACAGGGAGGTTCTTGTCAGCTAAGTTCTAGTATTAAGAACAAGCTTCCCATATATTTCTAAGATGAATTCCTCAAAAGGGGATAGAGGCCTGAAGAATATAACGTATTACTAAAGAGAGAAAGCTCTCACAGGAGTCCCGACACAGAGGCTCTGGGGAATAGCTGCTGGGTGGAATCTGCACGATTCCGGAGAGCCCTGAACCTGGGGAGTGCGTGTGTGCATTTGGGGGGTTCCTCCATCTTCCAATCGAGGGGCTATGCGGTGCCGTATGGGGACAGGGAAGGGTAGACTCCATCCCAGGACTCGGGAAACTCAGCGTGAAGAGTGTGTATCTAGTCTTCACTTAAAAATCAGTTGCTGCCGGGATTGTAGAAATGGTACAGCCACTTTGGAAAGCAGTCTGACGGTTCTTCCAGAAGTTAAACACGGGGTTCCCATATGACCCAGCAGTCCCACCCCTAGGCACATGCCCAAGAGAAATGAAAAGACAGGCCCACATAAAACCTGGTGCCTGAATGTTCACAGCAGCATAATACTTATAGTGGCCCAAAAGCAGAAACAACTCCAATGTCCGTCAACTGATGAATGGGTCCACGATGGAGTATTATTAGGCCATGGAAAGGAACAAGGTGCTGCCGTGTGCTACAGCACGCAGGGAAAGATGCTAAGTGGAACAAACCAAGGACAAAACGTCACAGGTTGCAGGATTCCATTTACATGAAATATCAAGATGAGGCCAATCTCCTGATGTTACCAGGGGCTGTGCAGGTGGGGAGGAGGGACGTTTAATGGGTGGCAGGCGGGGGGGGGGGAGATATGATTCTTTTTGTTTGTGCTCATCTTTTTATTTTATATATTTTAAAAAGTTTATTTATTTATTTTGAGAGAGAGAGCAGGGAAGGGGCAGAGAGAGAGGGAGGGAGAGAATCCCAAGCAGGTTCTGTGATGTCAGCAAAGAGCCTGATGTGGGGCTCGATCTCATGAATCGTGACATCATGACCCAAGCTGATATCAAGAGTCAGATGCTTAATTGATGGAGCCACCCAGTCACCCCTATTCTGATCTTTTTAAAAATAGCTTTTTTTTTTAAATTACAATTTTTTTTGTTAATGTTTTTATTTATTTTTGAGACAGAGAGAGACAGAGCATGAGCGGGGGAGGGGCAGAGAGAGAGGGAGACACAGAATCTGAAGCAGGCTCCAGGTTCTGAGCTGTCAGCACAGAGCCTGACGGGGGGGGCTCGAACCCACGTACCGTGAGATCATGACCTTAGCCGAAGTGGGACGCTCAACGGACCGAGCCACCCAGGCGCCCCAAAACACAGCTTTAAGTTGAGACAGAATTCTACAATTCACCCACTTAGAGTGCAAAATCTGTGATTTCTAGCACGTGCACAGTTGTGCCAACATCATGATCTAATTTTGGAACGTCTCCATCACCCCCAGAAGGAATCCTGCATATAACTTGACGGTGGACATACGTATTCACTTCTATTTCTTCCGGGTACATTCCTAGGAGTGGAATTGCTGGGTTACCGTGTAGTCATTCTGCTTAACTTTTTAAGAAGCTGTCAAGTGGTTTTTCAAAGTGGCCGCACCACTCTGTATCCCCACCAGTGATGTACGAGGGATCCGATGTCTCCACGGCCCCAACACTTGTTGTCTGTCTTTTTCTGTAACAGCCATCCCACTGGATATGAAGTAGTCTCTTACTGTGGTTTTAATTCGTATTTCCTTGACGGCTAATGCCATTCAGCATCTTTTCAGCAGCTCATTGCCCATTTAGTTGTAGATCCTCCCTAGGGACACATCTATTCGGATCCTTTGCTCATTTTTCAATTGGGTTGTCTTTTAGTATTGAGTTGTATGAGTTCTTTATATACTCTTGGTGCAAGTCCCTGAACAGGTTATGATTTGCAAATATTTCCTCCCACCTGTGGATTATCTTTTCACGTCCCTCATGGTGTTCTATGAAGCACAGATGTTTTAAATTTTGACCAGCGATGGGGAGCCTGGGTGGCTCAGTCGGTTGAGTGTCTGACTTCGGCTCAGGTCACAATCTCGGTTTGTGAGTTCGAGCCCTGTATCGGTTCTCTGCAGACAGCTCAGAGCCTGGAACCTGCTTCAGATTCTGTGTGTCTCTCTCTCTGTCCGCCCCCCGTCCCCTACTCATGCTCTCTCTCAAAAATAAATAAACATTGAAAAAAAATTTTTTTTTTTAAATTTTGGCCAAGTTGCTTTTTTAAGGTGAAGGGGATGTTCTAAAATTACATAGTAGTGATGCTTGCACATCTCTGGGGAACATAGTGGAACCACTCCATTGTATACTTTATAAGGGTAAATTTTATGGTAAGTAAATTGTCTTAATAAAAATATTACTGAAGAAACCAGGCCATTACACTCCTATTAGAATGGCCAAAGTCCAGAACACTGACAATACCAGATGCTCACGAGGAGAGCAACAGAGACGCTCACTCACTGCTGGTGGGAATGCAAAATGGTGCAGCCACTCTGGAAGACGGTCTGGTGGCTTCCTACCAAGCCAAACGTACCCTCACCGTCTGACCCAGAAATTCTGTTCGCTGGAGCTGAAAGCATACGTCCACACGAAAACCTGCACGTGGATGTTTTACAGCAGCTTTAGTCATCACTGCCAAAACTTGGAAACACCAAGATGTCCTTCAGGGGGTGAATGGGTAAGTGAACTACGGTCCATCCAGACAACGGAATGTTGTTCAGTGCTAAAAAGACACGAGTTGTATCAAGCCACGAAGAGACACAGAGGAACCTTAAATACATATTGCTAAGGGAGAGAAGGCAGTCTGAAGAGGCCACCCACTATGTGATTCCAGCTACATGAACCTTCTGGAAAAGGTGAAACTATGGAGGCAGTAAAAAGCTCCATGCTTGACCGGGGTTAGGTGAGGGCGGGGGGCTGTGAACAGGCAGAACACGGAGGATATTTGGGCAATGACAATACTCCGTGCGATATACTATAATGACGGATATGTGTCATTATACTCTTGCCTGAACCCAGAGGGGGTACAACACCAAGAGTGGATTCTAACGTAAACTGTGGTCTCTGGGTGATAATGACATGTCAAAGTGGGTTCATCAATTGTCACAAATGTACCCTCCGGTGGGGGATGTGGATAAGGAGGGGGTCGCTGTCCATATGTGGGGCCAGGGGGTATATGGGAAATCTCTGTACTTTCAATTTTGCCGTGAACCTGAAAGTGTTCTAAAAAATAAAGACATTTTTGTATTAAAAAATTTTTTTAGAGGTGCCTGGGTGGCTCAGGCGGTTGGGTGTCCGACTTCAGCTCGGGTCATGATCTCGCGGTCCGTGAGGTTGAGCCCCATGTCGGGCTCTGTGCTGGCAGCTCAGAGCCTGGAGCCTGCTTCGGATTCTGTGTCTCCCTCTGTCTCTCTATACCTCCCCCACTTGCACTCTGTCTCTCTCAAAAATCAATAAACATTTAAGAGAGAGAGTCTCAAAAATAAACATTTAAGAAAGAGAGAGAGAGAGAGAGAGCGCGCGCGCACACATGCACCAGTGGGGGAAGGGCAGAGAGAGAGGGACACGGAATCCGAAGCAGGCTCCAGGCTCTGAGATGTCAGCACAGAGCCCGACGCGGGGCTCGAACCCACAAACCAGGAGATCATGACCTGAGCAGAAGCTCAACCGACTGAGCCACCCAGGCACTCCCAAAATAAGATTTTTTTAAAAATCAGTGAGCTGGCTTAAATACAGGTTAAAAATCTCCCTGATTTGACTGTTTTCTATGACTCCCTTTGGATTACAATGGGCCCGAGCAGATCAATCAGACAAGAACTTCTCAGGCGAAGGAACAGGGCTGTTCATAACGGAGGTACACGGCCCACAGCAGTGCGTTACCCGATCCCTCCCAGAGGCTATCGGAAAACAGAAAACACGTTTGCTCTTTGTAAAGCCATCCGATATCCTACAGAGAACTCCCTGTGATCACAACGTCCTCTTACGGTAACAATCCATGCCTTCTCCTCCGGGGTGATACCATCCCGAGGCGGTGAGCACTGGCCTTGCGGCGAGGAGGTATATATATAAAGCACAGAAACACATACGTAAACAGAACACCGGAATGTGGTATAATACTAAAACTTCCCTGGGTGGGCGGGGGGGGGGGGGGGGCACAATTAGGAAAATAAGAAATCTAGTCTCCTCGGGTACACGGGGAGTAATGACAAAAAGATTGAGAAATTACTGCTTTAGAGCCAGAAATTATTTCACCTTCTGGCTACAGAGATTTTACTCCTATACATGTAAACGGATGTGTTCAATACACAGACGCATACGTCTATATTCCTATACACGTAATTACATAGTTATCTCGA